TGGAACAGAGTTGCTGCTCACTCCTCCTTTTCGTAGATGAGGAAAATGAGACCTGGAGAAGTTAAGTAACATTTTTGTGGTCATAACATTTAATTACAGCGCTGGGAGGGAAGCAACCAAAATCCAGAAGTCTGCATCCAGAAGCAGTTCAATTCTGTGTCTGTCTCACACCTGAGAAATACCTGTTGATTCAGGGGAAGGCCACCTGAGGGTCAGAGCCACAGTGAAACGCCACATCGGGTCTGTCCTGAGAGAGACTTGCTTCTCGAAACAGGAAGGGGAAGGAAGCTATCTGATGGCCTTGCAGGAAGGGAGGCCAGGATGACTGTAGGGACTGGTGAGACATAAAGGTGTGTGAAGATGGATGGGCCCCTTTCTAGGACTCTGGTGGGTGAAGGAGTGAGGTGATACGGTAGGAAATGGATGGCGGGGAAAGATGTGAGCAGAGCCGATGGCAGCTCAAGGAGACTGGCTGGGCTGTGCGCAGAGAAAGGCAGGAGGGAGGAGCGAGGGCAATCCTATGAAAGGGAACCGGGGCACCTTGCCAGGGAGCGTCTTCGCTGGGGAAGCTCTTGTCCACAGAGCCAGTCCTGCTTGGGGTAGGAGATGGTAGAGGATGGCTGCCTCAGTCCTGGGAGTGGAACAAGAAAGCCAGAGGTTTGGAGAAACTCACATGGCATGGGAATGAAGAGGGCTGGAGAGACGGCTGGCTCAGTGATCTGAGGTGGCTCGCTGCCCTTGTAGAGGACCCAGGTTCAGTCCCAGCACCTACATGGTGGCTCACCATCACCTGTAACTGTAGTTCCAGGGGATCCAGGGTCCCCTTCTGACCTCCAAGGACACCAGGCACAGATGTGGTGCTGAACACACAGGCAGGCAAAACACACATAAAAATGAATAAACAAACAAACTCCCCTGGCCAACCTGATCTCTGTAGCATTCCAGAGCAGCCCAGGTACACAGTGAGACCCCCTCTCATAAAATAAAAGAAGAAGAGCTCAGCCCCAGGGGGTGAAGAAGACTTGCGAGAGGAGGTTGCTGTCTTTGGAGCAGAGGGCATGTGAGCCACATGTCCACTGTGGCAGGCGCTCACTGGAGCAGGCCTTTGGTACCTAGCCTCTGTTTGCAGCTGAAGCCCAGTGTTTTTGTGTTTTGTATTCTAAGGAGCTCACAGTCTCCTGGAGGTGGAGTGGGAGTCATGGCTGGCATTGTTTCTTAATCTTTGTGAACACCAGATCAATGGTGGGGTTTTAACGTTTCTAACAGAGAGAGTCCTACAGATAGATCACACACATTCGATACAAATTAGAAAACGTGCAGATTGTTTGGAAAGTGAATCCCTTGCTGCCCTTCCCAGAGATAGCCACCATTCTAGTTTCTAGGAGATGACACATGCGTGTATGGTCTTATGTCACATGTAGTCTTGTGTCACAATGACTTGTTCTTTTAGTTTTTAAACTACTTGCTAATGCATTTGGAGCTGTTTCCACTTCAGTCCACACAGCACTTCCCCAGTGTTTGTTAAAAGATAGAGCGTTCGCTGTCCAGATGCACAGCACTGTTTAAAGCTGGAGCCATTTTGTCTGAGTCTTTGCTGTGTCTTTACAGACTTCATTTGGCACAACGTGCACACTTTGCTGCAGAGGAAATTCGCCGAGTGAAATGACCCTGTCAAGGGGCACAGACTTGCAATTCTGATAGCTACTTCTTTCCTCTTGCCACCGAAGCAAGGGAGAATCTGTTCACCTAAGGAACTTAGGAATGAGGCTTGGAAGCCCCGCCCCACCATGGTCTCTAAGCTGGGCCTGGCATCTGCCCTAGGAATTCCAGAAGTCCCAGCCAGATCCCCGCCCACCAGGTTTCCTCTTAGCTTCTCCCTTTCCTCAGAGAGGGCCATAGAGTAGCAGGCATGCTCTATTCCCCAGGTCTTGGCAGTCTTTCCGAGCTGTCCAAGCAATGCCGCTCCAGGGCTCCCACACTGACTGCCAGGTCTCCTGTCTGCTCAGGTCAGGAGCTTTCTCCAAGGTCAAGGCCAGTGAGCAGGGATTTCTAAGTCAGTTCAGACTTGCCTTGTGTCGGGGACTGGAGTAGAGGCCACACCAGAGCGAGGGTCACAGGAACAGAACACGGGAGCTAGCCTAGAAGCAAACGAAAAGTGGAAATGGTTAGCAGTGGTGGGCTACTGGGCTATTTTTAAAGAATAACATTCTGACAACACTTTACTACAGTTAAAACGACATCTTTGATAAAGCCTTGTGATCTGTGCGCAGCTGCTCCCAGGGAAGCTGGCCAGGGCTGACCGGGGCTAGGGCTGGGAGGCTACATGACTACAAATGTCAGCCCTGCCAGGGACCCATCCAGCTACAAAGCACTGCTGTACAGTAGACAAATCTTTACTGAGCCTAGGACTGTGGGCAGATGACTGACCAGTCATGCTGTCATGAAATCATACTCAGAAGCAAACAGGACTGAATATTTACATTACCTATCCTGCCGTAATATGGAAGATTAATAATTGCTAGAGAGGATGGGAAGCCAGGGAAGGGGGCGTAAGTGAGTGGAGAGTGTAAATGCCTTTCCAGGGGCCCTCTCTGGGAAGGTGACAGTTGAGGAGAAAGGGGGAGCCATGCAGGTATTTGGAGAGAGCAGCGAGTGCAGAGGCCCTGACCTGGGTCCTGTTGCCTTCCTGAGAGCGTTGTCCCTTGAGCCAGGCCAGGTGCCTTGCAGGTAGACAGGGCTGCTGTCCATGTGTTTGGGATTACTTTGAAGAGCTTTCATTGTCTAGTCTTTCACCCTCTTCCATTCTGCACTACTGATAGATCTTTAAAAAGAGAAACAAGTGTGATTGCGTTTGTGCTTTGGGGGTGAGCTACTAACAAGTAAGGGCTTGCTGTCTGTGTATTTGGTAGTGAGATCGGAGTCCATCTGAATTTGTAGTGATTACTAATGCTACAGTTTTCCTGAGAGGGTTTTCATCGCCATGACAGGTTTATTGACTGTCATCCGAGGGGCCACGTGCTCCTTTTCAGACCAGTTTTAAGTCACACATGTGACGTGCCCTCTGGTATTAGCCTCCCCATAGCCCCTGGCAGACCTCTGAGTTAGAGTCAAGTCGGAAATTTTGCTTTTGGTAGGGAAGTACTTCTCAGATACCCACATTTGAAAACCTGGGGATTCTAGAAACACTGGCACCTGAAGTGTTTGAAATCTGAGCAGTGGCTGTGAATCACATGGCAAGAGCTGGCAGAATGTCATTGTTTTGCTGGCTTGCTCACTGTCCACCCCTGCTCACCCTCCCACCCATCTGTGGGTTCGTGGCCCCATGCAGGAGATCACACAGCCCTCAGCCCTCCCTGAGGAACTTCTGATTCCCTGCCAGCTGAGTTGAAGAGCATGCTGCATGCACAGTTTAGCACATTCTGTAGCTGCAGACAGACTGTAAGGCTAGTAGGAAAATGATGCTGCGCATTTAAAAAACAGTAAAATGGTTTTACCTTTTGGTAGGTTCTTACTCATTTTTTAAAGTTCTTTCAAGGGATGCATACAACAGCCTAGGAAGGGAGGGCTCAGGGCATCTGGAGGCTGAAGATGAGTCCTGTGTGCCACAAGGGTTTTGCTCCTTGGCTTAAGTCATTCTCCTGCCTCAGCCTCCTTAATAATTGCAATCATAGGCATGTGCTAACATGACTGGCTTTCGGAGGGCAGCTAAGCCTACTGGATAGGGAGCAAAGCTCTAGCTCAGCAGTAAGTGTTTGCCTAGTTCGAAAAGCCCTGGGTTGCACCTAGAAGCAAGCTGTTGGCCTACTCTGTAAATGGGGAACCTGGGCACAGAGTGTTAGGGACGGTAAATTCCTGTTCTCCAAAAGCTGCCTTAGAACGATAATTTATGTACTCCGTGACTTTTGGCACAGTAGGCTCTCAGTCAACGGTGGTGGTTGAAAGGCTCCACACACAGCCTTTCTCTCCATAGTATCTGTGCACAAAGGCCCTCTGTAGACTAAACCGCTGGGATTTCCCACACGCATTGCGCTCTCTGACAACACTTGCTCTGCAGCCTCCTGTGAACCCCCAGGGTCCCCTGGAACCCCATTTCCCAGGCTTTCCTCTATTTGCCCTACAGCTGGGCATCACGGCAACTAGCTAATGATTAGACAGACAAGGGAAGCTTTTTTTCTCTCTCCCCACCGTATTAAGCCGATTTTAAGAGATAAAAGCAATATTGCTTGGATCCTGGGCTCTACTCTGGGGGCCGAGAGGTAGTTTGACAAGCCTTTGGTCATGGCTACCTTTGTTACAGGCACAGTGCCCAGAGGTAAATACACCCTCCAAATGACCCAAGTAGTTAAGTGGAAAATGTCACCATGACCTGTTACAGTGTGCTTAAGCTTGTGCCTTCTTTTTCTAAGAAACTTTTATTTGGTGCTATTAAGTTTAGTTTGTAAGTTTATTTAGCGTTATTAAGCAATAGCCAAATGGAATAAAAAAATAAATAAATAAAATGGAAGTTCAAAAGGTAAAACTCTCAATCACACTCCTTTCTACCCTTGGTGCTGGTGTGTGTACAACATACATTCTGCATGCGTGTAAACAGCCAACAGTATGTCCTGGAGATTGTTTCGTGTCAGTTTCTGGGATTTTTTTTTTTTCCGTCATGCATTCCAAACACACAAAGCAGCCCACTTCCTGACAATTTCTGTCTCCTCAGTATGTGCCAGTTGATTTTCACCCATGGTTTCCCCTTGCTGGTAAACAATTCCTACCACACAATGACTTCTGGTCCTATTTCTTCAATTGCCTTCCAGATAAAGTGTCTTAATAAGCATTAGTGCCTTTGCCTGGGATGGGTGTGTAAACGACGTTCCGTTACGTAGGCCCTGCCCAGCCATGTCACACTACTGCTGATGTAAACCACATCCCGAGCTAGGTCCTTTAAGGTCACAAAATGGGGACTCCAAGTGCAGCTCTGTCTTCTGAGACTGGCATGTTTTCTCTTGTTCCAGAAACTAGAATGAACCGAAGCATTCCTGTGGAGGTTGACGAATCAGAACCATTCCCAAGTCAATTGCTGAAACCAACCCCAGAATATTCCCTGGAAGAGGAATTAGAACCACCTGCTCCAGACACAAGGAACATGGCACCCAGCAGCTTGTCTGCGCTCCAAGCCCCTCACCATGCCGCAGGAGACCTTTGTCAGGCTCGCCCTCCCCTGAAACTTGCAAGTCACCGGCCTGTATCACAACAGGTCACCTGCTTGCGCACTAAAGTTCTGGAGGAGAGTGAAGCCAGTTTCTTTAGAAGGCACCCTGATGCTGGCAAAGATGTTTGCTCGTGCTCATCCGAAGCCAGCGAGCCTGAGTCTGAGCTTGGAGCCCGCCCTCCAGAGCACCGGTTTCCATTTACGGAAAAACGCCATAGATGGCTGGGACCACAGCTTTCCGCAGTTTCTCCCGACACTGGCCATGACTCGGACAAATCTGACCCGAGTTTACCTAATGCTCAGGCAGACTCCTCCAGTGGCGGCCAAGACACAATACCTCGGCCCCGGACCCACAGGAACAGAGCAGCCCCAGAGTTGCCCACAATAGACACTGGGTATGATTCCCAGCCCCAAGACGTCCTGGGCATCAGGCAGCTGGAAAGGCCACTGCCCCTCACCTCCACATGTTACCTGCAGGACCTCCCTGGGCCTCTGAGGTCCAGGGAGTTCCCTCAGTTTGAACTTCAGAGGTATCCAGCGTATGCACAGAGGCTGCCTCTCAATCCCTCCCCACAGGCTCCATGGAACTGTCAGTATCATTTTCCTGGAGGACCCTATCACCAGGCTCCATGTAAGTGACCTTTATCGCTTTTGGGCTTCTGGACATTCTGGGCTAGGGACTGAGGAATCCAGGCCTCACAACACTGCCAGTGGGCCTGGTGTTTCAAGTGCAGTTGATTGGGGGGGGGGGAGTTAGTAGGATGCATTTTCGTGGCCAAGGCCAGTCTCCCTTACAACTCCCTGTAGGGAACATCTAGGACAAAGTAGATCCCCCTATTGAGCAGTTGAAATCTGCCCCAAGGCAGAGAGAAGGTGCTGACGGTTTCTAGAAATTTCATTTAACCTAGCTCTTGGGGCTTCATTCTGGGCTCTTCCTTTACCTATTCCTTTCCTATTGGAGTTGGCAGGCAATTGTGGACAGGACCGGGTGCCTGCTGAGTGCCAGCCGCGGCACAGGTGTGGTGGATTTCTCAAGTCTGAATCACTGAGAACTGAACTTCAGTAAGCAGGTGTGGGGTTTAGTTCTCAGAAGTCTCCAGGTTAGTTTTCAAAGCCTTTGAAGTTCTACTCATCTGCATAAAGATATCTAAGTGTCTACGTAAAAATACTTTTTCTGATAACAGCAGGATGTGGGTAGTTTCCTCCAAATGAAACATGCCCAAAAGTTGAAAAGGGGATATTTCCTTTACCCAAATAGAATTCCCTATTAGGATTTTGATACATTTACTTCAAGTGTTTTTTTTTTTTTTTTTAATGCTCTGCATAAACTCCTAGTATAGAATACTTTCCAATGACACTGAGTGTACTTCCAGCTTTCAAATGTTGAATTGGACCAATGAGATGTCTCAGTGATTAAGGCCACTTGCCATCGAGCCTAAAACCTGAGTTCCATCCCTGGGCCCCACGTGATGGATGGAGAGCCATCTTGCAAATTGTCCTCTGGCTTCCATGTGCGCACTGTGGCCTCTAAGAGAGTTCTCTAAGCGTTCTCGTGTGCTCTCTCTCTCTCTTCCTCTCTCTCACACACATACGTAGAAACTAGATAAATTGGTCAAATGCTAAATTGTATTTCATTAGATATATTGCTAAGTTATCGTTAAGTTGTTCTCTGAAGTTTTTCCAGTTTTCTGGTCTAATAGTCAACACTATGACAAACATTATTTTTATCTGCATTTCTGATTAGCCCTTAGATAAAGGTGCAGAAGTGTGAATGAACACTTAGTTAGAGTCCCAGGCAGGCAGGAGATTGCTTCATCATGATAGCAAAGCAAGCGCTGATTCTGGTAATGAGAGTGTAGGAAGATCTTCCCATTGCAAGGGTTTCCCTGTTGATGCCTTGGAGGTAAGCTTGCTCCTGGGCAGCTTCCTTTTAAGGCACACATGTCCAAAGGGGACACGTCACCTCTCATGCCCAAGAGCTAGCTTTCCTTCAGCAGCCCACCTGCCCCTTGCTCTCTGTATCGTTAGTCCTGTTGAAGGCGGTTGGAAGGGAGTGTTTGGTCTTAGAGGGCAGACAGATGAAGAAAGATGAACAAGAGAGGACTTGGGCTGGACATGGGAGCAATTCATACACAGAATACAAAGAGCCAAAATGCACATGAGACCTTGCCTAAGAAATGCCACAAATGGTGCAGGAGAAACAGCTCAGCAGTTAAAAGCATTTGCTGCTCTTGGAGAGGAACTGAGTTCAATTCTCAACTCAACAACTGTCTGTAATCCAGCTCCAGGGAATCCAGCATCCTTGTCTCCAAGGACACCTGAATTCACACACATGTGTATACAGCACACAAGTGCACACACGAGCGTGCACACACACTCACACACACACACCAATTTTTTTTTAAAAAGGTACATTTTATGTAATGATGGATGCAAAAATAAAAGCCCTGCACATGCTCAGTGTCCGAGGGTATAAGGCAATGAACACTTCAGACACTTTCGGTAAGAATGGAAATTGGTGCAATTCCAGAAGGCAATTTCATTATTTATCAAAATTTTTGAGTCCTCCCTTTTGGACATCAGTCTTACTTTTAGTAGTGTATCCTATAGAAACATCAAACAAGCAAAAACATACACAACCAGCATGTTTTTATTAAAACACTGGGGGCTGGAGAGATGGCACAGCAGTTCAGGTCCTAATATCTATATCAGGCAGCTGACAAACTGATCCAACCGCAGCTGCAGGCAGACCTGATACCTCTGGCTTCTGGGCTTACCTGCCCTCAAATGCATAGACTCACACACAGACACACGTATTGAAAAAAAAGAAAAACTATTAAAGAGAAAAGAACCTCAAACCACAATAAAACAAACATCATTGGTGGCTAAAGAGATGGCTTGGGGATTGAGAGTACTTGCTGATCAGTCAAGAACATCAGGGTTTGGATCCCAGGACCCACATAACCGGGTGGGCATCCTGCAAAATGCCTGATCCAAGGGGTCTGGTGCTCCTTTCTGGCCTCAATGTGTGGGCCCACATTCATGCACACAAATAAATAATGTATTTTAAAAACAAACATTTTCTGAAAGTAAAAACAAAACAAAAAACCCAGACCGCTGCCTATTAGTAAAGGGCAAAGCAGGAGAGCTGATCCCTGACCCAAGTGTATAACTTCAGGATGGTGTGAAATGACAGACTGGGGAGACAGAGGGACCCACAGCATGGTCAGCTACAGAGCTCAGGCATCAGTCTGTCAGCTGCAGGTGCTCTGCTGCGAAGGTAGTGATGCTGTGGGGGGGGGGGAGGGGCAGCAGATACATTCTGACCACACTGTGTTTATAATGAGTGTATTGAGACATAGCTTAACACAGGTTGAAAAGCACCTACATGATATGATTTATTTATTCAGTGGTCTATTTGGTCCCTGTTGTGTAGCATAAAATGGTGTACATATTCTGACAAAAGGGATTAATCCCCTACATGTTTATTCAAAAGGAAACTACATACGTTTTCATACACCCTTAAAAGTCCCTAAGGATTAACGCCAGCTATTAACATGAGAGAGACTAAGGGTTAAGAGCGGACAGGGGTATTTTCTCTTGTAATCTTACATACTTTCGTTAACTTTTAAATAGCAAACTATTCCTATAATTAAAAGATAAATAAAAGTTGAAAGGAACAAAAAAGAATGCATAAAACCTGAGCTTGCCTTAGTTCATGCTGCATATCCTTGACCCTTGGTCCTGGGAGCCCTAGTCACAGGGAAGGTATCAGGGTGGCCCAGAGCTTATGGTCCTCTGCAGTGTACGGCAGCCCTGGAATATTAACGATGTGCCCAGCAGCGAGGACTCCCAGGAGGTTGCTGTGTGGACTAAATGAGATAATGCATTAAACATTCAGGACAGGTATACAAATGCTTAGTTTCATGTCAGGGCTATAACTGCACTTAATCGCCAACAAAACCACTTCAAAAGAGCTGTTCACCTGAGTGGGGACCATGGCTACGTGGCTCCACTCTGCTTTAAAAGAGCATTACTTCCTTTCTGTTAATGAATATATAAAGAATGTTTCATCATGCAAATGTGTTTTTTTTTTTTTTTTTTTTTTTTTTTTTTGCATTTTGCAAGTTAAAGCAAAAGTAACCTTACTGGTTACCCTTTTCGGGAAGAAAAAAAAATATTCAAAACAGTTTAAAACCAAAATTGAAATAGCCTACAGTGTTCTCCGCCGCTAAGGACCCTTCCTTCCGCTGAGGGTCACCAAATGAAGCCCATAGCTAAGCAAGCAAATCAAGCCCACAACACAAATATATTTGGGCAAAAGAAGGAATTAAGTCTAATGAGCCCTTGTGCTGTATAAAATTTTTGCTTTCTTTACTAAGGAGGCAGAATATGACATGTGGGTACATGCTCCCATGGACAAAAAAAAAAAAAAAAAAAGAGGTTGCGTGTGATTGTTTGTATGCGATTGTTTGTACGCTAGAATGCATGTACAATTAAAGCAAGGGAAAAGAAGCCAGATGGAAGCAATGATAAGGGAAGCGGCTGCCTTGCAGGAGCCCCAGCTGCTTACAGCTGTGGGAGCTCTCCTAACAGTTTATGTTGGCCATTTTGTTTCCTGGCTAAACGGATTGCATTTTACCATGATGTTTTTTGACAACTTGAAAATCAGATTTTATTCTCTCTCACACAAGCTCTTTTACTACCATTCTTAATAAGGAAGAAAAATGTTGACTGTTTTCCCTGATACATGGGGGACCTCATTTATTAAGGCTTGGTTTACAATTCCAAGTGCTAAGAGCCCTGTGACACGAAGACTGTCCTTACTGAGGCCAAGCGGCTCTCGACACTGACAGACAGCATGGGGTTCTGGGTGCTCCTCTAAGATTGTGCAAGGCTTTCGTTTTTGCTGTTTTCCTGTTGTGCCCGACACTGCCTCGGAACAGGGAGTTAACATGCTAGCAAGCCATTTGTCTATCACATCACCCACCTTCTATCTCCCGCAGGGTAAACTCTCTTGATGGGATTTTAGGCACAGGAGACAAGTCCGTGGGAAGCTATTTCTGAGCAGTGATTCTCAAGTAGGTGGCTGCTGGCTTGTGTGCCTCCCCTTCACACACACTGACTAGTGTGGGTTTGTGTTGAAAAGCAGACACCCACAGACGCACAGATTTCTCTCTGTCTCCATTCATCTTGAGCTACGTAAGGGAACTGTATCTTATTATCTTTGCTCACTGTGTGCCTGGGAGTAGAGGGTCTATAAATATCTGTTGAATGAATAAGAAGTTTTCGCCTTCTGGAGAAGGGAGAGAACCTCCAGCCATTGGTAGTTCTTGTGACATGAAAGTAAGTCTTTGAAAGGCCATCTTTAATTGTATAGTAGGAAAATAAAGGAGGAGGAAAATGACCCACAGAATCAGCTGACCTGGGCTAGTGAGAGGTCACTGACTCAGGTCTGACAGATGGGGAACCTGCATAAGACTGAACTAGACTCCTTTAATACAGGAGACAATTGTGTGACTGGGACAATATCTGAGGCCACTGGCAGTGGGTCCAAGATCTAACTCTACTGCACAGACTGACTCAGTGGAGCCCATTCTATATGGAGAGATAGCTTGCCCAGCCTAGACACGGGTGTGTGGGAGTGGACAGGTGTCTTGGTCGGGACAGACTTAGTAGATTTCCTAGGGGAGGCCTTACTCTCTCCCAGGAGCAGATGGGAGGTGGGGGGGGTTGGGGGACTGGGAAGAGAAGAGGGAGGGGGAACTGGGATTTGATGTAAAGATAAATAAAAAAAGAAAGAAAAAAGGAGGAAATGAACTTGTAAATAGAACTTGCCCATGCATTAGTCAATTTCCTTAGCAAAATTTGCCATGTCTGCTAGGCACTGCACAGATAATACAAGACACGAGATGAGCAGACAGAAAGTAAGGAGAAATAGGCACACAGCACAACAAGAGCATGTAGCTATACAGGGAATAGCCAGGGGTTGGAACGGGTACTAGTAGGCAGGCAGCCAGAGTGAGCCTTACTGAACAGTCAGTTGAGCTGAAAGCTCAAAACTGAGAAGGTCAGAGAGGCAAGGAGGCTGATGTTGCTTAGGTGCCAAGAACAAGACAGGGAGATGACTTGCTAGAGAAGGCAGGGCACGAGGCCATGGTAAGGAATCTGTATTCCATTCTGAGTTATTCTCTTCTGGGAAACAGAAAATCCAGCTCTATCACCCTGGGCAAAGCACCTAGACCAGCACTCAGCGCGGAGGGAGCAAGGCCTGCTCATGCTAGCGGAACAGAATGATTACACCTTGACCAGTGAGGCTGGCAATATGGCTCCGGGGGTAAGGGTGCCAGCCACTGAGCCTGACAACCTGTTTGATCCCTGGGACCCAAGTTAGGGAAAGAGAGGACCAACTTTCACACACTATCCTCTGACACCCTGGCTTGCATGTGTGTATGTAGTTGTGCACTCAGACACAATAAATTAAAATGTAAAAAAAATAAAATGAAATAAAAATAAAAGGCCGGGCAGTTAAATGATGGTTATTTACCTAGTAAGCACACTTTTTAATTTAACAATTTTTCTATGCAACCAGTGAAATTCCCAGGGGAAAATGGCCCAAGTTCCACACACAGAAGGAAAAGCTTCATTCTGGTTGACCCTCTGGTATTCAGTCCTTGTTTTGAACAAGAGGATGACATGGGGGATTCTATTGCTGGCACTCTAAATTAAAAACCAACAAGGTGGGTCGTTTTCACCTGCTCATATACACCGGTGTGACTTTTTGCCACAGGTGGCCGCCTGGGAGCCGGGAGTTACAGCTACTCAAACACTCAGCCCGTGTGCTTAGTGATTTTAATGATACGATTTGTTGCTATGAGACAAAAACATGTTGTGCAGAGAAATAATCTGCTTGAAATCATCTGACCTTGATTCAAAGGCTTTTGATTAACAGCACTAACATCCACCTTCTGGAAAAGGAGCACACCCTATGATTAGAGCTTGCTAGTCCTTTTAAAGCAAATAAAATGTTATTAGCCAGTCACTAATGGATACGGGAAGCAAAAATGGCTCTAAATAGTGAAAACTTCACTTGAGTGTACTTTCAGCCTCTCCCTTGGAAAAGCTTTCAAGGCCTGGAAGTTTCTCTGCTTTGACCGTTCTTTCTCATTTCTGGAAGGCAAAACTAATTATAAATAAATAAATAACAGCAGACAAGTAGGCCGCGTAGCAAACTGAGATCTAAGCAAGCAGGTTGTGCAGTCCAAAATGGCTCCTCGTCCATGTGTAAGCTGGCTCTGTAGCTAATTCTTCAGTCATTTATTGAGCACCGCCGCTGTTGGTGATTGATGGCGACCCCTTCCCACCATGCACCGTTCTTACCAACCCTTCCTAGTTATGAGGAAAGCAGTACAGGGAGGGAGAAGGTAAACTCGGCCGGGGTGCGCCTCCCCGAACAGGCCATAAGAGCCGTGTAGAAGTTGATCTGTGAAGATCAAAGGCAAAATCTTTCTGCATAGAGACCATAAGCTCAGGGGTGGGGATCAGCTTGGGGTGTTCAAGATGAAGGTGGGCCATGATAAGCCTGTGACAGTATTGTGGGAGATGTGATAACCTCAGGGACCTGGTCATGCAGGCTGGATCTTAGAGCGGTAGATGCTGGAAGATTGCACATACAGCTGTTTCTAAACCCTTGCAAAGCTACTCTAAAGGTGAGCCAGGCTCCTGCCTGGTGACATGGTGGAAGGGACACTTTTTGTCTTTTGTTAGCCTGAGTAGCAGTAGTGACCTGCCTGCCTGGCTGCCCTGAAATGCCCGCTGACAATCTAGACCTCCTCAGATCTATCTGACCCGCTCTAGGAAGTCTGTCAAAGCAAAGCCTTAGTGGTGGACCTTGTCCTAGACCATAGAAGTCTCCATGCTTGTCTCCCCATTTTTAGAGCTCCTCTCCAAGTCCTGGTTTTCTTTGTCAGCCTCATGCAGGGACAGGACCAGGCAAATCGTCTCCTGTCTCCCCCTTCCCTCAAACCTTCAATTTGCAATAGTCAGAGCTTAACAACAGGACAGCGTGTGTCCGAGCCAGTCCCTTCTTTGGAGGTGCATGGGGGAAGGATGGTAGGAAGAATACAGCCCACATGAGGGCCAAGGCAAACAATGAGATGGCTCAGGGAGTTTGACCAGACATGAGAGACTAGCCTGAGTTAATTGCCAGGGTCATCCAACCAAGGTTCTGAGTCCAGACAGCAGGGGCCTGGAGACAGATACACTAGTAAACACACGTATTATTTGTTTGCTTGTCTGTGCTTAAGGTTGTCATTCCCCAGGGATGTCTTAGAGATGTGCAAGCTTCTGGCTGCAAACCAAACTCAGGACAGTACATCCTCCCTACTCTGGTACTGCAGCTGGACGATGAGATCAAGGGCAGCGAGCTGGCCACGCAGGGTGACAACTCTAACTGCAAGAGCCATGTCACTTCTTCCTTGCTATTTTCTTTCTCTGTGTCTCTCTCAAATATATTATCCTGGCAGACAAACAGGACTATGACTTCTCTAAATTAGGCAAGGATTTAAAACCAATGATAATTTTTCAAAACCAAATTGCTTTTGCCCTAACTGATTATGTTTCCTGGCTCACCATGCTTGTGACCTGAGTAGAGGTGACAGCGTGGGTCATGAGGGGACTCGTGGCTTCTCTTTCGGAACCTCATGTCTGAGTCTCTCCAGTCCATGTTCCTCTCACGTTTCCCAACTGTCGCCCCCCGGCCGGTGTAATGCCCCCGAGCCCTTCTTTCTCACCCCCCAGTGGGGCATTGGATCCCTCTGCATCTCTTTTAAAATGGTTATTTATACGTCTGTGTGAGTCTGTACCACAAGTATACTAAAGGCCACAGGAGGGTGCTGGAGCCTCTGGAGCTGGGGTTGCGAGTCATTGTTAGCCGCCTGACATGCTGGGAACCAAACTCAAGTCCCCTAGAAGAACAGCAAAGTATTCTTAACTACTGAGCCATTTCTCCGCTCCCTGCATTCTTCTTTAGTTCGTCTCCCGGTCAGCTAAGCTGGCCTTCTCTGGGGACCCTGCTGCTCTGGGCTTCCTAGGACCAGCTTTCTCCCGAGTTACACATTCACATCAAGCCTGCCAGCCCGGCTTTGCTCTAATCCCTGTCTGTGTGTCTGCGTGTGGATGCACGTACATGTGCACGTAGAAGCTAGAGGTACATGTCAGGTGTCTTCCTTCATCATGCTCCACCTCATCTGTGGAGGGGGGGCCTGTCACTGGACCAGTAGCCCACAAAGTCAGACTGCGTGGCCAGTGAACCCCCAGACATTCTCCCGTCTCTGCTCCAGGCCCAGATACATGTGTGCGGGTACTGGAGCCTGGACTCAGGTCCTCAGACTCACACAGCAAATACTGTTTGACTGGGCCCTCTCCCCACCCCTCCCATCTCCTAACATCTTTTCTCTTGTCTTGGGGCCACGTGCGCATAGGCTTTTCCAGGGGAGAATGTGGCGTTAAAGGATGATGCTGGCTCCTTCCCAGAGGATGAACCAAGGTTTCGCTCATTCTTCGTAAGAGGGGGCTGTGTGTGTGTGTGTGTGTGTGTGTGTGTGTGTGTGTGTGTGTGTGTATGTATGTATGTGTGTGTGTGTGTGTGTGTACACTTAGTGGTATTGGGGAACATAGTAATTTTTTTCCAGGGAGGCAGGATCTCAGTAGTAGACCAGACTGGCCCTGAACTCACACAAGGTCTGCCTCCCTCTGCCTCCCAGTGTGGGATTAAAGGCATGCAGTACCACCTCCAGTCCAGCACAGTAATCTTAAGTCTATCACAAGGATAGTTTCTCCTGGCCATGGTTTTCGGCAGTGGGGACTTTTGGTAGGGATAATGGTGTGAGAGACGCTCTTCGGGGAAGGATTATTATCTTAAGTATCTCATTAAAACAGGACTTGAAAAATCCTTTGAGTTTTCTAATTAGAATGCCAAACATGATTTCACAGATGATTTTACATGGAAGAAACATGTATTGATTTCATGAATATTATGAAGTAGTTAGCAGTACATAATATGACACATACATGGTGGTGGGTTGATATGCGGACCTCAGTTGCTATCAAGAGAAAACTGTTGGATGAGCTTGTGTGGCCGTATGCTTGGAGGAGCTGGAGTAACCCTTCTCTGCTACTTCCTTGCTCACCCACAGATGCTCATGGCCACCCTCCCACAGCCTACCAGCAAGTCATCCAGCCTGTCCTGCCTGGAGCAAGAGAGAGAGTCCTGCATCCTATGCAGAAGGTCATCCTGAATCACCCCAGCCCCCAGGACCGAGGAGACAGGCCTGCACCGAGAGACTCCTCTTTCCCAAGGCTCCCAAGGTATGAGTACGACAAGACGCATCCCACACACCCTGACTGCAGCAAAGACGTGTGGCAGGTCTCTGTAGGCCACCTCGGTCAGCGCAGACATTTCAGGTCGGAGCACAATAGAAAGTGGTTGACAAGGCTCGCTTAGCACCATCACATCTGGTTTCTAGTTATTTTCTTTTGCAATAAAACCATCCATTTAAGCTGATCCTCTCTATAATTCTTCTGGAAAATAATGCCTTTTTTTTTTTTTTTTTCAACCTTTGTCTAACCCTTTGCTTTGGTCCATTTCCCATTGCTATAACAAGGTATTTGAAGCCGAGTACTTGATAAACAACAACAACAAATATTTCATTAGCGCCAAGTTCCAAGATAAGGGGTCCTCTTGGCTATGTTGCCTCCATAGCAGGAGTATGAGGTAGAGGGTAAGATGGCACGGTAGGATGGGAGAGAAACCAATGACGGCACCAGGCTCCCCCCCCCCCCGAGTCAGGGTTTCTCTCTGTAGCTATGGAGCCTGACCTGAAACTTGCTAGCCATGAACTCACAGAGATCTTCCTGCCTCTGCCTCTGAAGTGCTGGGATTAAAGGTGTGCGCCACTACTACCCAGCAATTAATTTTTTAATGCAGGTTCTATCAATGTCGTTCAACCTGGCTTCAAACTCACTATGTCGCCCTTGCTGGTTTCGAACTTGTTACCCTCCTGTGTTGGCCTCCGAAGCAGCATGCACTACTATGCCAAACTTTGGCTTGTCCTTTTATTACACGTCTCACCAGATCTAACCAAGGTCCCATGAGATACGCTGAAGTCAAGCCCGCCTCAAGGGTTCTTCATCTCTTTCCAATATGCTGCCACACTAAGGGCCAAGCACCAGCCAACCCACCCTCAAGGCTCTCAGTATCCAGTCATCCCTTAGGGTTTTTCCCCTCCTTACTGTTTTTATTTTTTAAATTCCTCTTCAAGTTTACCTGTTCGCTTAATTTGTATATCTAAAATAAACAGGAGCAAGTGGAGTTTCCTGTTTTAGAACAATATTGGGAAGAAAGTAAGTGAGATGCTTGGTTCTTTTCAAGTACAACTTTCATATAATACGCACAGGAAAACTACATTCTGTTTTTATAGAACAGAATCAGATATGAAAATCCTATTAAAGTGGATTTCTTTTGGAGATAAAGAAATTGGCAGTTAGCTCAAAAATTTTATTCAAAGGGAGGAAAAAGGCCAATTTTATTAAGAGTGGCGAACAAGGCCCAGGCCTGCCTCCCTCACTGCAGGGTCTACACATGTGTGCCCTTCTACACAGAGTCTCGCCTTCCTAAATACACAGTTTAAATACAAGACTAGAGTAAAGTGTGATTTCATAGCAAGACACACTCCTACAAATACATACACATGTATAAAATTTCCCGTACAACACATACATATCTTTTACCAAATACATTTGGTCTTGAATAGGGAATGCAGTCATAATTTTTAAAGTAAATGTTAAGCAATTCATTTTTCAATAAACTCACAAATGAAAACAGAGCTGGATTATTGTAGCCACTCTAACAAACCCCTGCCCACCCCCAGTGATCTTGTAGTCTGCTAGAATGACCATTCTGAAGCCTGGAGCTTGTATTGTTTTCTGAGCTATTGAGTCTCAGTTATTAGCCCAGGCTAGCCTAGAGACTGGCCTCGAATTCCTAGCAATGTTCTGTCAGGGATTATAGATAGGAGTACTAAAATAAACCTTTATTTTGAAGAACATTTAGATTTATAGAAGAGTTAAAAGGAGTTGCAGAGCAAATGTTTCTATGGCATCCATTTAAGCCTGTTCCGGTATCCTTGAGTTACCATTTTAGGACGATGAAGAATGCTCGGCTAAGAAGTCAATTCTCCAACCACTGACTGGAAAGAGAACATTAATACCAGAAGTTTGCTTTTGTTAATATGCCCATGAAACTATTTATATGTGAATGTGTTTGAACATTATTGTCTTAGTTACGGTTACTGTTGCCGTGAGGAAGCACCATGCCCAGAGCAACTTGGGGAGAAAAGAAAGGGTGTATGTGGCTCACACTTCCAGGTCACAGGTCATCATCAAAGGAAGTCAGGACAGGAATCAAACAGGGCAGGAAGCTGGAGGCAGGAGCTGATGCAGAGGCCATGGAGGGTGCCGCTTACTGGTGCTGTTATTCCTTGTGAGCCTGCTTCTGATAGAACCCAGAGCCACCAGCCCTGAGAGGGCACTACCCACAACGGTTCCTTCCTCCATCAGTCACTAATTAAGAAAATGCCTCGCAAGCTTGCCTACAGCCAGAACTTACGGAGTCATTTTCTCAATCGAGGTCCCTCCTTTCATATAACTCTAGTTTGTGTCAAGTTGACCTAAAACTAGTCAGTATAATTATCAAGGCCTTAGTAAATGAATAATCATCTTTTACAACCATGAAGCAACTTTGTGTATAAAAAGATATAATATAAATAATAAGTAAATTAATCTCAGCTGAAGGTACATTTTTTAGAGGCCTCATTTGTTCAATATTAGTGAACATATAAGATATAAATTCCCTAAACATTCTAATTTTAGAAATGTAGTTGTTAAGATTTATGATTTTTTTAAAAAAAAAAGTCTTATTTAAGTCATATTACATAAGACTTTAAGCATTTTTAAATTAATTTTGGGTAAAAACATAAGCAAAATCTATTAAAAGTAGGCATATCCAAAGACTTACAATAATAATATTAAAAATTTTATAATATGAAACAAAAGACATCCATGGTTCCATTACCCTGATTTTAACATACTGCCATGTTTACCTCCGATTTTTTAAAAGAAAGAAAACATTCTAGATACAGTTTTAATTATTTCCCTACCAGTTAGACATTACCGAAAAGAGAGACCATTCTGGCTGTTATATGCTTTTCCGTCACTCACTTACTTTCCTGTGTGTATGCACACGTGCATGCCAGCCATCACATGCATGAGGACACAGCACTCGTGGATTCCTTTGTCTCCCGACACCTCGTAGGTCTCAGAGACCCAAGGCACGTCGCCATGGTGCCTGGGCAGCAAGTGCCTTTCTAGCTGAGCCATCTTACCTGCCCACTTAGCCATGCAGAGGTTAGGGCCACTCTCTACCTGCTGGAGTTTCCGTGGTTGAAAGAGAGACGCCACACCTTGTTCTTGACTTCCAGGGACACAGGATGCTTCTGCAGAAGGGACGATGAGCCTGTGCCTGTCTGCCAGTAGAAGCCAAATGGCAGAAGCTCGAAGGGTACATGCCACTGTTTCCCCTGGGCACAATGCCCGCAGGAATGCTGGAAGCAAGATCGCAATAAAGATGCATGGCACCAGCCAGACTTTTCACTTACAGAGCTTTAAAGAAATACTTTTAAACCTACATGACTTAAAAAAAAACACACACACACAACTTTTGAAGCAAGCAAATGTTATCTATCATAGCTAAAAGTTGTGTCTTTTTACTTTGACTGCCTTTAATATCAGCCTTCTGTCACCCATCATATTATTTTGTTTTGCTGGTGACCTTGTCTGACCCATACATGGAATTTGTTTTCCCAATTAGACAGACCTTGAATGGAGAAATCAAATCCTGCTTCCCTCTTCTGACCCTAGCACAGGCCCTCACATGTGGCTGCCAGCTGACTCGTTTATAGAGGAAACTCCATGGGACGCCTCTCTCCCTTCTGTGTTGGAGAACTGGAGGCAGAGGGGAGGAATCGTGTTAGTATGGTCCCCCAGTCTGTGAAGTCTTGCTCTCTCTCCAAACTTTGCCTTTGTAATGAAAATAAAAATTTGCTGTAAACTTATTCCCTTGCAGGGACCAGCTCTATCAACCACCGTCTAGTAGAGCAGGAGCTCCTGAGGAGTCCTTGGAACATCCTGCAGAGCTGAGACCACAGGGTCCCCAGACTCCATCCCCAGCTGCCGTGCCTAGACCCCCTAGCAACCCCCAAGCACGAGGAACTCTAAAAACTAGCAATTTGCCAGAGGAATTACGTAAGTTGTTTGCAACGTGGTTTCATCTTGTCAGGTTTTATGTCTTGAGCGTTTGGCTTAGTCATATGCCCATAATCTTAGTTAAATTTTACATGGACAGCAAAGTTTACCTTGTCCTCTTTGCTTTAAAAATACCCAGCCATTTAAAAAATGTTTTTAGTGTTCCTAAACTGCTTACCACTGGATTCTCCTTGACACATAGAAAAGAGCAAACCCCCCCCCACACACACACACACACACACCACCATCCTTCTTTCCTTTTCTAAATGATGCTGTCCAGTGATGTGCCCCTGGGTGGATGGATTGGGTGTTCATGTGGGACTGGGGAGAAATCTAGTGTCCCACCATAAATTAGCAGCATCTATCAAGAACAAGGTCATTTTCTGTAGGAGTGAACAGTCTTGTTTGGGAAAAAACCAAACAACAACAACAACAACAAAACCTTCATGCCCAATGCAAACTAAGACTTTTATTTAAAGAAATTTCAGGTGATGATTCATTTGCCATATTCTGCTGCTGGATCCAGAAATGTTGAAATATTACCAAGGTGTTCTGAGAGTAAGGCCAGCTAGCATTCTTAGTTCCAGAAATCTTTAAAATCAGTCACTGTTTATGAATTATTTTGCTAGAGAAGCTAACTCTTTCCAGATCTGGGACACTCAGAACCAAACCTTTGCTTGGCTAACTGCTTTTCTTAACTTTCTTCTGACAATGAGCACCATGGTTTTCAGGCAAAAGTTTTGTTTCTGAGCACCTCAAAATCTTACACACTTCAATCAGGGAAATATCTGAGTGGACGGACATGGTCTTACATGGCGTACGGTCCCAATATGCTGCCTGTCTTATAATCTAGGAAAGGGGTCCTAAAAACCAGTACATACGGAGGTGACAAAGTATCCAGTGCCACCTTATGCTTGGCACCACCGCCGTCATATACTCACCACACACACTCCACCTGCGAGGTGTGCTCTGTTAGGAAGAGTCAAGCGCAGATGAATGCATGCAGACTCCTCCCCTGCATCTGTCTCCTTCATCCTCTGCCTCGGGGTTTCTTGAGATCTAACTGTTCATTCCAGACTAAAAAGTAACGTGTACAGATTATCTGTCTACCACATTAAGCTGCTCGTCAAGTAATTTCCCCAACACTTTAGTCTGAGACAGCAGAGGTTCTGTCTGGGTAGGGTAAGCTTGTCAGAGCAGTTCTGGCTTGGGGAGGAACCAGGAACCCTGCAATGCTGGACTGCCCTGAGGCATGGTCTCCCCTTTAAACTGCTGAAGCAGCACTCACATTTCTGATCTGGGCATCAGTCTGCTCCTGCTTCCTGACCTTTCTCCAAAACAGTCGACTGGGGGGGGGCACCGGAACACTTTCTCACTCACCCCCTACTTTGTCTTGTTAGACAAGAGTTCAGGGCAGCAGAGAGCATCATGAGATCAAAAGCAGACACTGCCGGTGGCCTCTTAGCAAGCCCTAGCTTCTTAGCCTGCTGTGAGAATATTTTCCTTGGGCATAGGGCCAAGTGTCTCTAAGAAACAAGGCAATGGCTTGAGCTCAAAGGACTTGCAGGCTGTGGGTGGTAGATTTTTAACATCTCATATGGTGTTCCAGAAGACCTGTGAGGCTGCTCTCTCAGCCTGACATTACTCTCCTCTGTCCGTTCTGTCTTCTCTTCACTCTGGATGGTTTGCACTGTCTTGGACAGGTCCCAGCCTTTGTCACAGAGGACAGACAGAGATACATACCCCTGCAGGCATAAGCCCTTAGACCACCCTCCAACACAAAGGGCAACGCATGCTCCTTGGAAGTGCTATGTACAACGGAGTAACTGGATTCGTTTCAACAACTCTGGCATTTCTCTCTTAGGGAAAGTCTTCATCACTTATTCTATGGACACAGCCATGGAGGTGGTGAAATTTGTGAACTTCCTGTTGGTGAATGGCTTCCAAACTGCAGTGAGTATTCTATTCAGAGAGAAAACTGAACAGTTCAGTTGAACACGACGGTGGTGGTGGTGAAGTATGAAATTGATGTTTTATTAATTTATGTGATGTTGAGCTAAATGCGTAAGGGTTTGGGTAATTGTTTCTGGGTATCTATTTATTTATTTGGTCCTGGGAGTCAAGGCTAGGGCCTCACTCGTGTTAGACAAGTATTCTACCACATTTTAAACTACCCAGAGTCCCCAACGGTTTTCCTCCAAGTGTTAGTCCTGAGAAAGGTCTGACTCTTGCTGCATTCCCTGCCTCGGCCCTTGCCAGTCGTACTCACTTCCTGTGGTACAGGAGGCTGCAAGCTCACCGAGGTAATTGTTTTTCCCAAGCCAGACCCTCTGCTCTGCACTGGACTATAAGGTTTGAAGTAGAACCCTGGGCCCCCACTGCACACAGCCACCCTTCTACACCTTGTTTCTGGAAAGAAGATTCTGGACAAGGAAGACACAGCCTAGTTTCCATCGGGGGAAGATGGCCCTATTTCCCATGGGGGGGGGGGAGATGGCCCTACTTCCCATGGGGGGGAGGGGGGAGATGGCCCTGCTTCACCCCTGTAGGTCCATTGTGATCTTGGGCCCAAAATTCTCAAGCACATTATCTTTCTGTCTCCCTGCCAACTCCTGAAACAACACGGGTTAAAGCCATGTACCTTCTTCCTTAGGCTAAACAAAATACGACAAGTTGCTACTCGGAGGACTGGCTTTCCTCAAACATTAAGATTATTTCCTTCCCAGAAGCCTCTCCTAGGCATTCAGTGAATTCCGGAGTGGAGTGAAATATGGGCGTTGGAGTCTAGAGAGGAACACTTACAAATTAAAGAATGAAGAGGCAGCTTAGCATTGGTTAAGAGTTTTTATTTTAATGTTTTTTTCCTATAATACTTCCTGTTTAAAAGATGCCTGTAGTCTATGCAATTCACCTTCACACCTTTCTCATTTCTATAATAAGACGGTGCTGGGTACCCATGACGTAAAGATCAAAGAGTGAGACTTGAAGCAGCATGCAGGATCTTACCCTTCTCTTTTCCAAATATAAACACGTAGATTCTTCCTGCCCCTGGACAATAGCCAGGGCTTTCAACCTTAAAAAACCCCAATCAAGGGCAGTTCGGGAGAATTTAAATGTGCCCTTGACCCTTATCCTATAAAAGCCTGTGTTTGTGAACAGCTGTTGGATCTTCTCGGTAAAATGAAATAATGAATAATTTAAGGAGAGTTTAATTATTTCTTATTTTTATTTATTTATTTTGCTTTTCAAGTCAGGGTTTCTCTGTGTCGCTTTGGAGCCTGTCATGGAACTAGCTCTGTAGACCAGGCTGGCTGCGAACTCATAGACATTTACCTGCCACTGCTGGGATTAAAGGCGTGTGCCACCAATGCGCGGTGAGAGTTGGATTAAAAAACAAACAAAACAACCTAACAAAAATCAGCATAAAGGTTTGGGTAGGTTTAGGAAATCTTAGGGAATAGTGTCATGCTCTGCCACCAAAGGACACTAAGGGAGCCTGGAACCTGAAGAGGATGGTTGCCATAACACACTCTTGATAGGGCGGCTTAGACAGAGCTCGTTTTCAAGGTTGGTTTCATCTGGGATGCTCTCCCTTGGCCTGCGATGGCCGCCCTCTCTCTGTCCACCCTCATATGGTCCCTCCCCTGTGTGTGCACAGACCTGTGTACTAATTTTCCTTTCTTCCACAAACACCAATCCTATGGAGTGGGGCTCACCTGGCACCTCATTTTACTTGAGTTGTCTTCTGAGAGGCCCCATCTCCAAATCCAGTGACATTACGAGGTAATGGGAAAGTTTCAAAGAATTAATTTTTATTTTATTTTTTGAGACAGATTCTCACTTCATAGCACAAGCTGACAATCCCCCTATGTCAGCCTCCCGAGTAGTGAGACTGTAAATGGAAGCCACCATCTCCAGCTAATATATGCATTTTAGGGACACAATTAGCTCATGACAGCAGCTGTGTGGAAAACTTGTCATGGCAGGTGCAGCAGACTCTGTTGGAGATCTAGAGAGGCAGACACTGCCCAGAATGTGTCTCTGTAGCAGGGAACAACTTCTGTGTCAGACAGTACTAACCGTATATGGTGTGTTAACATCATGTCTCGCAAGCTGGGTGCACGCCTTTAATCCCAGCACGTGGGAGGCGGAGGCAGGTGGATCTCAGGGAGCTCAAGGCCAGCCTGGTCTACAAGAGTGAGTTCCAGGACAGCTCCAAAGCTACAGAGAAACCCTGTCTGGGGGGGGGGGAGATCACGTCTGGCATTATGATACATGTCTTTTCTGTGTTGTCATTAAATCCTCATAACCATGCAGCGCCAGGAGCAGAACCGAAGCTACCGTCCTCGGTCTGCAATGGGAATGGATTGCTGGCACCGGCACAGACTGGTACAGGCTTTAACCAGAACATGCATTATTATCTTGGTCTTTGTTTTGAGACATTTTTCTGTGTGGACTCAATTAGCCAAACTCAAAACTGCTGCTTCGGCTTCCTGAGTCCCAGAATGGCAGGCAAGGGACTACGTGGTGGATATTAACACATAAATCACGCTGAGTGTGGTGGCACACGCCTTTAGATCCAGCACTCAGAAGGCGGAGGCAGAGGCAGGCGGATCTCTGTGAGTTCAAGGCCAGCCTGGTCTACAGAGCGAGTTCCAGGACAGCCAGAGCAACAGTGACACTTTGTCTAAGGGGAAAAGGAAAAAAAATCCAACCCAAAGGAAAGCTGTTTTATTTCCATCAGTAAATGAATACATTCCAAGTTTGTATTGTGTACTCTATAGGCATGACAGTTAGGTACACGCATGATCTCTATAAGGAGCCTAGAAGCAGACTAGGAAGACGAGGAGGTCTTAAATGAGACGTGAGTAAAGGAAAGAATGGTTGGTACAGAGTCTGCTGCTAGTGGCCAAAATTGGAGAGTTGGGCGATGGGAAGGGGAAGTCAGTGTGACTGACAGAGCAGAGGGGCAATGCTGTGCTGTAAGGGCTCGGGGGAGCCAATGTGGGGAGTGAAGTGGACAGAGCATGTGGGAAGAAGATAGCAGCCGGCTCAGGATGCTTGATGAATAGTGGAGACTTGGCCTGGTCAGTTCTAAAGGGCAGTGTGACACTAGGAAAATACCTATGGGAGAGGTGAGGGTAATCAGATAACCCTCCCCCAAAGGCCTTCTTCTGATGTCCCCACTCTGTATATTATCTATCCCCTCTTCCAATCAGGAGTGCCTTGTACATGTAACACACACACACACACACACACACACACACACACACACACACACGAGATAAAGATAGGAGCGAGAGAGAGAGACTTGGGACTCTATAAGACACATGATTTGATTTTTTCTGCTCTTCTAACACCCAAAGGAGTTAATAATAATAATAATTGAGTCATATCAAAGCCCCAGAGTTCCCCTTGACTTTTATCCTAACCCTCCCTACCAGCTCAGTGATTGTTTCTGTGACTGTTCTTTGGATTTCGCCCAAGTTTCATACAATCCTTTTGAAATGTGTAATTGAACCTGGACATAATCCTGTAATCATGACCTAGCAGACACGGGTCAGACACCACAGTTGTGTCTCAGCATCTGCACACTACAGACCCACTGAAGTCTCGGAATCTGCCTTTCAGTTTTCCAAATGACAGACACATAAATGTACTATTTCTGTCTTCCTCGCTCATATCCAATTCTGTGTCCTTCAGATTTTGAACATATAATTATTGTATAGCTACCGACACATTTTGATATGAACAACTGTATCTTAATTATGGATATTAGAAACCTAAATGTCTACAGATATTGAAATGGGGTATATTTCATGAAACTTGGGTTTCATGGTTTGGACTCATGTAACCCTCCTTATACAGAGCGTTGCAGAGCTACGCAGCTTCTTGTGTTCTTGAGCTCTGTACACAGGGAAAGCTCTCATTAAGAACCCTTCCTCCCATCCTTTTCTTGTAGATTGACATATTTGAGGACAGAATCCGGGGTATTGATATCATTAAATGGATGGAGCGCTACCTTCGAGATGTAAGTATATTCCTAAATTCTGAGGATTTGTGCTGGTGAGAAAAACCATTAGCTTGCAGAAGCTATTCCACAGAAGAAACCCTGATATTCTCCCAAAGCCTGAGCCTGAGGAAGTCTGACAAAGACTCTCTTGTTGGAAGCTTGCAAAGGCTTGGAAAGGAAGGGAGGATGGGGTCACCCTCCTGGACACGCAGAGGCAGGAAATAGTGGTCAAACCAGACACAGGTGGTTGATAACAATCAGTGAAAACAATTTCCAGCCCAGAATAGGAAAGGAGGAAATGGTGGTGGGGGGGGGGGGGATTCCAGCTGAATTTGGGGCCTTTCCAAGTGTTTTGTAGGACTGGGCTAAACAGTTTCTGGGCAGCCTTGCAAGCATGCAGCATGCTACCCAGGCCACCCACTTGCAGCTCTGTGACTCGTTTTCTGCAGACAGAATCTATGCTAGCCACTGGGGCACCTTGTGCTTTGAACAAGACAGAAATTGATTGCTGCCAGCACGATCACATCTGGGTGCTTCTTGGGGGGGTGGAGTGGGGGCTCAGCAGGCTGGGCAGCAGGCTTTCCTTTTGTCTCCAGCGTGGTGTTTGCTTTGTGCTGAAGGGTCTGCTCCTACTGACTGTGCTAATGTGCACAGGAAAAGCAGGGCAGTGGAGGACCAGAGCGAGTGGCGGTCACATCAGGCTGCGGGGAGGAAGGGCGCTTTTCTGTGCCGCCGTGGTGGTCTTTCTGCCTCCATGCGGATTCAGTGGTTTGGGCTGTCACTAGATGTTTATTAGTGAAGGTTGTGGAAGATGGGAGACTTCCTCTCGAGCCTTTGCTCTGTGTGTTTGTAGGGTGCTGGGCATGGGGGTGCCGGGGAGGCGTGAAAGGGACGGCGTGCCGGCGTGTGGGCTGCTGCCTTTTGCCCTGTAGCCGTCAGAGGGTCAGGGACCGGTTATGCTCCTGCTGGCCACTTTCCAGCTGGTCTTCACCAAATGAACCACACTACCCAGTTCCATAAACATGCTTTCCTCCTTCTCATTAACAGAAGACAGTGATGATAATTGTAGCAATCAGCCCCAAATACAAACAGGATGTGGAAGGCGCTGAGTCGCAGCTGGACGACGATGAGCATGGCTTACATACTAAGTACATTCATCGGATGGTGAGTGGTGAGGGGACCACAGTGCCCGGCCGCTCCTCTGGAACAGGCACCTTCTCTGGGACGATGCTTTGCATTGATGGTGGCAGGATATTAGGGGAAGAGTCTCTAGCCTCCTATGTGAGGAGACGTTACTGGTTATGGCTTGGTATACTTTGAGACCCACAGAGAAATACCACTCCTCTCCGTAGTACTCAACCAGTCCTGCCAGGAACTAAGAGATACCAATCAAGCTTCTAGAAAGTAGGACTTTGTTTGCCTGGCTGTTTCCCAATAAATGTGAGGTCTCAGGAGGGCAGAAGGGTGAGTGGTGAGGTGAGTAGTTACTGTGGGTGTTTCATTCTGTCCCCTGCATTTTCAGAGAAGAAAGGTGCAAAGTGGGGAGGACATTTCTGTCATACCAAGGCCCGGGTCACATTATATCTTAAGTACAGGCTATGTGACCATGGTCCAAGTACTTGGACCTTGCCTTTCTACAACCCTATTCATAAAATGGGTCACTGGTGTGTACAGTTCTGTGAAGATAAATGAAGTAATGCGTGAAGTATGGCACATAGAAAAGACTTAACTAAAGAGACTTCTTAGTTTGTGACAGGCCAGACGCCTTCTACTACCAAACCTGTACTCTAGGGCCTGGTTAAACTTAATCCATGGGGAAAATTTAGAAGGAATCAAGCTTGTTCAGCATCTAGGAGAAAATACTGCCCACCTTTAGGGCTAGCTATTTCATGGCCTAGCTGTCTTCTTGTCCTTTGTGGACTTAGAGATGCTCTAAGACCATTCTGTCTAACTGATGCTGCACTAGATCTGTGACCTTCAAACTGTCCTGTGGAATCCCTAGTAGCTAGCTGTTTATACAACAAAGGATGGCACTGTCCCTGAGCCTCCCCACCTGGAGCTGGTTTCTCTTGTTTATTTACTAAGGATCCTGACATATGAGAAATCACTGGGCTTGAACTCATAAGCCCAACCTCAGTTCTTATCCTGAGAGGACCTGGCATAATGTGTCATTGGAAGCGGTCCGGATTCAAGGACGAAGCAGCGCGGGGCAGGAAACAGCCAGCAGTCTCAGGAGGACACCTTTACCTCAGAGGAAGCAAACTCAAATGCCGTCCACCTTGTAGGCAGGGTGGATACGGAAGCAGCACCCTCATCATCTGGGTTGCTGAGAGCTCTATCACCTCTTCCATCAAATGTAGATTGCATGCTGAGTTCACAACCTAAAGCAGAAGCTAAGGCAAGGTGGTAAGATTCACGGGTCAGGCCAAGGGTCTGGAGCTAAGTCTGCCTCCTGTCCAGTCTTACTTAGTGCCAGCCTGTGGTCAGGATTCTGAAAAATAGCACTCCTAGAAATAAATTCATCTAAAAGGGCCGTGACTGGTTCTAGATGCTGCTGTCTCTTATCTGTCTGTATCATGTCTGCACATTCCCAGAACACTGACATTCTGTCTACATCTCTAAGAACCTGTTAGTTCCAGGAGCCAGCAGCTGGTACTTGGGAAGGACTCCAGGTCCCTACCAGTTCCTGGAAAAACCTGCTTAGTTGTGCTGGTGTATGGCAAGGGTAGCCAGTGATACACACAGTTCAACCCAAGCTTGGGTGACTGTCAGCTATAACGATGTGCTCTCCATAATGTCTTAGACTCTTCCCCATCTCAGGAGGGACTGGATGTGCCGTCAGATATAGAAGGGTCTCCCTATACCCGGGCTGACTTCCTGGTCTCCTTCAGTCACTAAAGACTAATTACATCACAGATCAAATGACTGTATCAGAAAGTAAGAGAAAAAATAAAGTCACTGCTGAGGGCTAGTCTTTGAGAGACCGGGGAACCGGGTGGACCAACTAAATAGTGCACAGTGCCCTTGAAGCTGGAAATGAAACCCAGCTCTACTTTTAACTTAACAGATGCCACGCCCTACCCTGCAGGTGCTTACTCTGTGATGACATGTTTGGTACTTGAAGTGCACAGTATTCTGGTCAATGTAGTATAAGCTTTTGGTGTTGTCTTCTGTGTTTTGAAGGGACATGGCTCTGAGAAACCCCTCTGTGGTAGATCTGTGGGAGTGGGTGTTGGGGAGAGGGTTGTTTACGTTTCCACATTTACTTTCTTCTTGTTCTTATTCTCATGCACAACAAAAGCTTCACACTTATAAAAATCAATTGGAAGATAAAATTGTTCAGGATACGTAATTCCTTGTCATAAGATGGCTGGAAGCTTCATGCCAGTCTTGGGATTTAGAAGACTTTAACACCCCTGATATTGAAAATCCTGATTTTGATAGAGTTCTTATAGCTAAATCCTCTTGGGTGACCAGAATGTGAAACCTGATTTATCTGGTGAGGGATTCTCAGGCCTGACCGAGTAGGCTCTTCATGGCTGATCCCCTAGGTCCCTCTGCCAAGCCCATTTGTGCTCTAGAAGTAATGCTAGGTGGTTCCAGCCATCCTAACACAGCTCCTTGTCTCCAGATGCTCATGCACTCTGCCCTTGCCTTCTCTCCATTTCCTTTACCTGACCAAGCTCTTTATGCGCAGTGACCCCTCCCATTACTGTCCTGCACACTCCCTGATGCAGAACTGATAGCCCCATCCTGAGCTCCTACAGCAATTGCTCACTCTGCAGGCTGACTCTGGTTGGTAATTTTCCTTCCTGCCTGCTCACTAGGTCACTAGCTCTGGGAGGATTATCCAAAAAATTGTATCAGAGGTACTATGCTAAACAGGCTCTCAAAAAAAAAATCCTAGGTTTTAGCACTTTACTCATTTCTGTATTATAAATTTATAAATACTCTCATACTTGGCAGTTGAAAGCTAATGATATAAATAAAGGTATTGACTACAGAATTGGAAGAGAGATACAGCTTGTTCTCATGAACTGATCCTTAAAACCCAAAGTCAGCACTCAGGAGGCTGACACAGGAGGGCCACTGTGCGTTCAGAACCAACCTGAGCTACACAGGGAGTTCCAGGCTAGTCTAGACTACATGTGAAAGCCTTACTCAAAAAAAAAACAAAGACCAAAAACCCAACTGATGGGAGATGTCAGTCTGTAAATCTGTTTCTCTTATTGGTTAACGAATAAAGCACTGTTGACAAATAGGAAGGCAAGATAGGCGGGACTAGGAGACAAGGAGGATTCTGGGAGATGTAGTGGGAGAGTCAAGATGTAGAGACTTGAGAGAGGTCTGGAACCTCTCTCTGGCAAGATAAGACCATGTGAAAACACTTAGATTGATAGAAATGGGTTAATATTTAATACAGAGCTAGCCAGTAAGAAACACTAGTAACAGGCCAACAGCTTTATATCTAATACAGCGTCTCTGTGTGTTATTTGGGGCTGACACTGCTCTGGGACCAGCCTGGCAGATTCTGGCCAAAATACAACAAAATTTTTCTTTTATTGATTTAGTGTATATGTAGTATGTATACATGTGCACAAATGCACATGCATTTGCCACTAAACAAAGTAGAGGTCAGAAGGGAGCTTGCAGGAGTCAGTTTTTCCCTTCCACTGCGTGGGCTCCGGGGACAGAACTTAGGTTGTCAGATATGGCAGCAAGCACCTGCACCTGCTAAGCCAGCTTTCTGGTCCCTAGAATGTGATTTTTAGCAGGCCTTTAATATGTGGTTGTATTACTCAGGGTTCTCTAGAGGGAGAGAACTTCCAGAATTTATATATACACGTATATATAAATATGACATTCATACAGAATATGTGGAGGTAGATGAGAGGGGGTATTTATTACAGTGACTTAAAGGCTCTGGTCCGGCTAGTCCAATAATGGCTGTCTACCCACGGAAGGGTTAATAATCCAGTAGTTACTCAGTCCAAGAAGCCAGTGTCTCAGCTGCTCTTCACTATACAGTGGAATCTGAAAGAAGTGGGCTCTAATCCAGTTAAAGAATGGATGTGTTGGGGAACACAAACAGACAAAGAGAGGTGGTTCCTTCTTCCATTTATATAGGCTTCCAGCAGAAGGCGTGGCCCAGATGAGAGGTGTGCGTGTCTTCCCCCCTCTGAGATCCCAATCAGAAGTGGATCTCCCACTTCAAATGAGTTCATTAAGCAAAAATCACTCCAGTGTGCCCAGCCAGGTTTGGTTTTAGTTGACTCCAGATGTGGTCAAGTTGACAAGCAAGCAAAGGGCGTGGCATGTAATAGGGAGAGCTTCAGATTGGGAGTTACGCGGCTCAAATAAAGTTGCCATGTTGCTATATCAACTTCTCATCTTTGTTCCTAGATTCCTTACTCTTCATATTTGTTTTGTTTTAGATGCAGATCGAGTTCATAAATCAAGGAAGCATGAATTTCAGATTCATCCCTGTGCTCTTCCCAAATGCCAAGAAGGTAAACAAACAAATGGCAAGATGCTCAAATGATTCTATCCTTGGTTTTCAAATCTAGGATTTTAGGTTCAAAATCTTGTCAACTCTTTGACACCCCCCAGCGATAACAGTGTTACCAGAAAGATCAACAACAAGTTTACACTGGGCTCACAGTAGGAACAGGAAAGGGATGAGATCCATCACCATCATAGCAGGTCAGTGTGACAGGCAAACATGGCATCTAGAGCGGGAAGCTGAGAGCTGAAGGCTCGCATACATCCCCAGTGACAAACAGGAAGCAGAGAGTGTGGCTGTCTGAACCTCAAAAGCCAACTTCAAGTGACACACTTCTTCTAGTCAGGCCACACCTTCAAACAGCATCCACGCCTGGGGAGTAAGTATCCAGATGCCCGAGAGATGCTTCCCTCTCACTTCTTAGAACCAAAGTGCGAGGACTTTGCTCTCGGCCCCACACACATACTCTGGCACACAGCTCAGCCCGCGCAACCTGGAGAGTACAGGCACTGGATCCACACAGCTCTATGTGAACCTTGCTGGAACTCACAGGGGGGCTTTGCTCATACTCCAGAGGATACACTGACAGCTTCAGAGAATGTGAGTCAAGTCACTAGAGAACATCTTCCAGGCCTGGCAAAGGGGAGACAGCCGCTAGGTAATCAGTTCCAGACAGACTAGAGAGCACTCTGAGTTTAGACGCGGCCTCATTCTGGAGGATTCCTAGATGTCAGAACTGCACTGAAACCTCTGCCCCGCAGTAGGGAGAGCCCAATCTATGGGAATGGTTCACAGAGGGTTGCACAGTGCACAATGCAAATGAAAGGACCCTTAATCCTCCTCGTCCAGGGACTAAATGCAGTCCCTGACTGGCAAATCTCTACAGGTCTCCCCATCTCCTCTGGGACCCTCCCTGTCCTAGCCACTTTCCACTTTGCCGGTCTCGATCTCGCTAGTTTCCGAATTCTGTGATGTTTCCCACTGACTTGAGGACATCAGCTACCTTCCTTAGCGTGACCCGTGAGGCTCTGTGGAATAGGACGGTGTCCACTTTCCCATTTGATTTTCTTCTCACCTGGTGCCTCTGCTTTGTTCAAAATGGGCCATGTCAGCAAACCTCGCATTGTGTTCTCTCTATCTAGGTGTCTTTGACCCTCTGTTCCCTCTCCTTATAATGTTCTTCCCCGACTTGTTGGCCTGGGGAACTTGCCTATCCTTGTACCCTTGCAACCTCTCTATCATGTGAGGTTCTTCTTCTCATGCCTGTGTAATGCATTGTCCCTTTCCTGAGAAGGCTTAGTTATCGTATATTGGGGGCACTGGTAACATTTGTTTAGAATCGCTGGCTCATGTGTGCATATTCGCCTAGTTGGGTTTACTATTGTTTGTTGTTTTTAAATTCCACTCAACAGTCTCTTTATTGCCAGAGGTTGGGACATGGCATGCTATCACCTAGAAGAGTTTATGCAGATTTTGCCTCCATGTGTGGTTTTCACCCCAGACAGTTACCGTGACTTTTCATTGGATACCCTTTGCACTCAACATGTATGCTGGTTCTGAACGTGTGCTACAACCCCCAAAGCAGCTCGTCTCAGCATGAAAACCAAAGGCCTTCCGGTGGTCTGTAGGCCTCCTCTGAGACAGCCCCTTGAATTCTGCCCTCGTCACTAACCCACCGTCACTTGTTCTGTTCTAACTGCTGTGATCTTGTTGCTTTTGAACATGCCTGGCAGTTCCCACCAATGTGCGCTTCTCCTAAGCACCCTCTTAAATGCTGCAAACTTTTCACCTCTACACCAGCATTCCCCATGTCCTTAACGTGTTGCAGTTGAGCTTATCATTGCCTCTCTCGGCCAGGACAGTCCTGAGGGTGACCGACACTGGCAGGTGGAACCCAGCCTCACAGTTCTGAGATTTGTTCTGCTCCTTCGACTGCAGGCCAGACCGCAGGCTGGAGTGGAAGAACCATGAATTATATTAAGCCCACAACCCTGGCATCCTTCCCCCGAAGCCACAGGGGAATTCACATCATTCGGTGTGACCTCTGTCCTACCCTTCCGTGCTTAGGTGGTGAAAAGCAGGCTGACATGCAAAGGGCAGGTAGCCTGAGAGACTGGCAGAAAAAGCTGTGCACATGTGGTTTCCATAATGAGATACACAGCTTGCACCCGAAGCCAAAAGTGCTCCTCGTGTTAGACCCTCCGAAAGCAAAACAGCAGCTCCCAAGACAGCCCGGTGGGAATGCCTGTGAAGGGCAAGCCAGAACTGTTCAGAGCTGAGCCCTGGACCTGGAATCCAGGCTTCTCGCCTGTGACCTTTGTCCCTGTCCTCTCTCTCACAGGAACACGTGCCCACCTGGCTTCAGAACACTCACGTTTACAGCTGGCCCAAGAACAAGAAAAACATCCTGCTGCGACTGCTCCGAGAGGAGGAGTATGTGGCCCCTCCCCTCGGTCCTCTGCCCACCCTTCAGGTGGTGCCCTTGTGACATCAACTGTCCCTGGCTCAGTGCCGTCCTGTCACAGCATTCTGCTAGCTGGGGCTGGCTGGTGGCACTCAGGACTCTTTCGGTGTCTTCTAGGGAGACCCAGGCCCCAGAACACCCTTCCTGAGTCTGAGTTGTTCAGCTTGGGTTTCCAGTGCTTTTGGTGAGTGGCCATCACTACAGGTGATGGCAGCAAATACCTAGGACCACAGAAACCCTCTTATGACTTCTGCTGCTTTTATGAGTTGGCCAGATGCTGTGTCCTTAGACCAGACTGAGGAATGTCCGAACAATAAAACGATTACCCTTTGTAAGAATGTGTTTCATTTATCTGAATGGAGGCAGGCATATTAACTTATATTGAAATGGGCAGGTGTGGGCCATCAACAAAGCTGCTTATAGTATTAGATAAATGTGACAGCATGCATGCTCTGTATTAAAGGATTAAAAGCAGAAAGTTAACCACCCTTTTTATGTAACTATGGAAGGTTTACTCTTACAGTTGAAGTTTTTAACATAACAGCCTTGATTATAAACAGTGTAATTGGGCAGGGAGTGTAGTTCAGTGGTAGAATACTTGCTTAACATGTAGAAACTTCAGGATTCAACTACTAGCATGCAAGAAGAGAAAAAGGGCCAATTGAGGGTGGCGAATGCTGTTAACCCCAGCACTTGGGACACAGAAGCAAGCAGAGCTCTGTGAATTCAAGGACAGACTGGTCTACAGAGGGAGTTCTAGCACAGTCAAGACTACACAGTAAACCCTGTCTCTAAAAGCCAAATGAGAGAGAGGGAGAGACAGATACACACACACACACACACACACACACACACACACACACAGACAGAGAGAGGGGGGGGGAGAGAGAGAGGTTACAGTCACGTCTCCCAGGGGATAAATTTAATTTTATGTTTATTTATGTTTTGTGTTTTGGAAAAGGGCTCCTCTATTATGTAGCTCTGCTGGCTCAGAACTCAATTTATGGAGTAGGACAGTCTTGAGCTTACATCAACCCTCCTGTCCTGGCCCTCTGAGTGCTAAGGTTATAGGTGTGCACCTGTATATCTGGTGTCTTAGTTACTATTGTATTGCTGTGAGGACATGTCATGATCAGGACTGTGTTTACCATTTAATTGGGGGCTTGCTTACAGTTTCCGAGGGTGAGTGCGTGATTACCATGGCAGGCAGTGTGGTAGCAGACAGGCAGGCGCTGGTGCAGTAGCTAGGAGCTTACATCTTTCTTATCAGCAAGGTGAAGGCTGAGAGAGGGAGACTGGGTCAAGCCTTGGCTTTTGAAACCTCAAAGTCCACGAGCCATGACACACCTCCTCCAACAAGGCCACGCCTCCTGACCCTTCTTAAACAGGTCATTGAGAACCAGACCTTTGAATATGTGAATCTGGAGCTATTCTCATTCAAACCCTCACGCCTGGCTAGATTTTCTTTTTAAATTAAAATGTAACCAGTTTTTAAAAAGCAGAAAACGAATTGATTCATAATAACTAAAAACACACTGTGTTTGGCTGATTATTTAGAAAAGAGTCTTACTGTGTAGTCCTGGCTGCCGTCCAACTGCTTAGAGCAGGTTGGCTTGTAATTTGTAACCCTGCTGCACCCACTTCCTGAGTGTTGGGATTATAGGCATGCATCGGTGTTTCTGACAAAACTTGTCCCTCCCAGACCCCAGTGCTGAAGACTGAATCTAGGGCCTGGGTATGCCACAACCCAGTTCTTGGGTACATTGTCTCAAGAGACATGTTCTTCTTCTTTTAAAAATGTCTTCAATAATATTTTCAAGTCAATAATTTGGGCTTATTTGGTCTCTAAAGAAATGACACATAGCCATTTATAAAATGTGTGTGTGATCTAAATAAACTGTTGCATAAGGAAAGAACAGCTCAATAAAAAGATGCTTGGGGGCTGAGAGCTGTTGCCTCCTTTCTCTGCCTAACCTGGTAAACAAGTTTAAGCTTAACTATGAGATAGTTGTGCCTCAAATGTCACTAAAGGGAAAGACAAATACTGTTTAGCTACAAAAAAAGAAAAATGGCTAATGAGTTACAAAGAATACAATTTAACTTACTTTATGTCCTACATGTGCACTGAGTAAATACTTTAAAAAACGAAAAAAAAACTTGCATAATTTAAGTACTCATTTGCATGACTTTATGGCAATAATAATTACTTTGATGGCATCTTAGATCTAGTAGAATTTTCTTGTTTGGCCAACTCTGAATTCCTGGAAAACATTCCAAATACCAACTTCAAGTCTTTTTTGTCTTTTCATTATTGTTTTGGTTTGAGGTAAGACCATTATTGAGGATTCAACATCTGCAGAAGTAGCCCAGCAATTATTTCTTTGAAATGTTTCCAGCTTGCAAAGATTTAGTGATGTAATATTATTAACTCCCCCATACACCCCACCCCCACCCCACCCGGGACTTCCAGATCATGCAGCCATGAGTTCCTTCCAGTCTTCCCATCCCAGGTGGTTAAAGGTCCCTTATGTGCTGCCAAAGTGTTACAACTGGCAGCAAGCTAGCCAAATAACCAAATACCCAAAACTGTGTGTGTACTCATGTTCATCAAGAGATGGCAACTTGGTTTAGAAGTGTTTATGAAATATGATGACCACCACCGGCAAAGAAATTATTTTAGAACACTGATACTCAGATTAACACCTGGTTTATTTAAACATCATCCTGGTCCTCGTGTGTGTATTTGTAGATATTTTGAGGTTAGAACAGGTTAAGGCTGCCTTGATAAAAATAACTGTGTAGCCTCACAGAAACTTGTTTGTTTAAGTTTACTCCAGGGCTACAGCCCCAGTGATACAGCTTCAAGGCTATGAGCCTATGGAATTTTCTGGGTTTTCCTGAGAGACATATGACCCTTCCTCCCTGAAGTAAACATAACCTCCTGAACACAACACAGGAGGCCTGAGGGAAGAGCCCCTCCATCCTCTGGTGGCTGGGAGAGTAAACGATCATGCTACAACTTGTGCTGGGAGAGTGTCTTTGGGGAATTAATTATTGCTGTGATGATATGGAATCCAGGTCTTGTTGGAATATAGTGCTTTGGCATATTTATTTTGTAGTAGTTTTTATGTGAACCTTAGCCAACTTAAAAATTCTCAATACCTTTCTAAAGCTTAAATTTCTTTTAAAGGTGCTGGTGTGTATGTGTGTTCGTGTATGTGTTTCAAACTCCAGGACACCAATAGTCTTTTAAAAAGTGTTTTTACTCTTTAAATGCTGTGAAACACCTCTTCCTGGAATCCCTTGGACTCTATGGAGATGGAGCGTCAAAGTCTGGCTGTTGAGGAGGGGTCGGGCTGACTGCAGGAACAGTACATTCACCACAAGCACAAAAGAACCCAGTCAGGGCACCCTGTATTCTGTACCCACGCAGGATGGCATGTTCCTAATGTTCCTAACTTCATACCAACTCTTCCTTTTTTTTTTTTTTTTTTTTTTTCTTGAAGAATGCTTGTAGACTCACAGACTGAATGGTGAGAGCTGGGTAACCTTCGCAGGCCACCACATGTGACTGGGTATCTGCCTCAGACCAAGCATGTGGGACCTGCAAAAGGAATGGTCAGCATAGCTGACTTGTATTTACCTTCTCAGGGAATGTCTGGGTGTGGCCTAGGTCCCATTGATCTGGAAGGTTTAGGAGGGAGGGGACCGAGCTGTGGCTGCTCACACTTCTCTGCCCAGGTCTCCTAGGCACATCTTTCTTGTCCCACGCCTGACCTCCCTTTTCTCCCTTCACCAGGAAGGTGCTGATGGGAAAAGGCAGCGGGGGGGGGGGGGGGGGGTGACGGAGAGGACTCCTGCCTGATGGATCCCATTAGGCTTAGTGTGCAGAGCGTGTGGGGATGAAGTAGCTGCTCTGGTATGCATCCAAGCTGCTGTTCTATTTTTACTCTCTCCTGCGTGCTTCTTAGCCCAGAGTTGTTTGCCTGGGCACCTGGATCAGCAGCAAAACATGGAACTGAGCCACTCAGTAAAGCAGGGAGGGAGGAGGCCATCGGTGCAGGCTTTGTTACTGCTGACAGTGAAGAGAGACCTGGAATGTTAATGAGGGTAGCTTTCCGAAGCATGCCTTCATGGTTAGCGAGGAGTTCAAAGGAGAAGGCAGACTCAGGCCTGTGCCCAACAAATGTGAACCGCTGATAGAGAGAAGGAAAAATCAATTATGCTGTCGCAGGCTCCGTGCCATTGTGTTGGAGTTGTTAGGAAAGGTAGGACAAGGACCAGATTTCAAAGGGAAACAAAGCCACATGGCCCTGAAGTATAACGAGTTTGCCATGGCAACTGATGGAAATGAGCCTCCCGGGCCTGAGCAGGTGTGCTATCTTACAGAATAAACACACTTCCCTCACTCCCTGGATTTTATAATAAAACCTGTGTTTGGATTACTTTCCCCTCCTCTTTGTTACCCAGAGAAGTTGGCTGTTGCTCAGTCAGCCCCAGGCTCTAGTGAGGGAAATGTAATCAGGGTTATCAAAGGATCACTTTGGAAAAGGCTGGGGCTAGGCTTGGCTACCAGCCTCACCGCGGAGCAGCAGCTGGCCCTCAGCTACCTGCCTGGCCTTTGCCCCTCCCAGGCTATAACCTGGGCAGACAGCTGCTGGTTCATCTGGGCACAACAGTATGATCTGGACCTCACAGACCAAAGGCTACTCTGTGAACAAAGACCTGACTGATGTCTCATCTTGGGTTCTGTCTGCTAAGGGTCCTCAAGTTCAGGGACGAACCGACTTTATGCTCCAATCCGTTGTTATCCACAGTTTGTTTACTCTCTAGTAGGTTTCAGGGCAGTAGATTGTTGTTAGTCAGAAATATACACAAATGTGGAGGTTTTACAAAATTCCCCCAAGCTAAAGACTAAGGATGCTTACATTTAATCTTTATAAGGCCCAAATCATGATAAAGTTAAATAACCAGCCTCAGCATTCTCCTTTGTGACTAGAAAGAAATTTCTTTCACTATGGTTTCAAATAAACTTTTAAATCAAGGTGGTCGTTTTCAATGGCTTCTAAGTTTATAAACATGGTTACGGCAAAACAGTTGGGCCTGAGAGGATGCTGTGGCGGGCCTCTTACACATTACCTGACCTTTGACCCCGGTAAAGGAAGCATGGCTGAGTAATTCAAGCTAAGGTGTTGTGCCCAAATTCTGAACCCCCAAATCACCAAGAGATCCATTCCAATGCAAAAGCAACGAGTCTTTTTATTATTAACGAGCTAACTGCATTAACTGGGGCCCTCTGTCTGTCCAACACGGTGGCGTGAGAAGGACGTGGAGAAAC